GGGGGGGGGTGAAAGTTACTTCGCGTGGAAAGTTCAACGTTTCTGAACAGGAAAAGGTATAGATTAGTACTTCATATCATACATATATAGCAGAAATAATACGTTTATTTTAAAAGTATGATTGTTAATAACTTTTTAACGAAGGACGAGCGACGGCTAAAACCTGTTGGAGGTTACTCAGGGTCATGACCTTGACAACATATGTCAAGGTCAAAGTCATTGGAGGGGGGTCCCCTAATCGAAACATTTACCAAAAATTGCATTTAAGTTATCGCGAAATCATTTAGATGTCCAAGGAACACAACGCCAGAACGTTAAGCTCGCCGCACAGATTTTTTCTGCTACAAATGCAGCTGCAATTGAGTAGTGCGGTTTACAAGGACTCATGAGCAATTGTCTAGAATGGACTGCAACAGCCAAATTTTTAAAGCTTTTTAATGATTGGTTTGACATTTTTAATAGTGTTTGCAAATACGGAAATCACCCTGGACTAAATGGATATGGCGTTAATATTGTGCAGCAGAATAATATTCTTGCTAAAGTCACATCAACAGTGAAAGTCATGAGAGTTGGTAACCGACAGACTCTGCTTCCTTTTCAAAAAGGAATTCTTATATGTAACTCATCATTACAAAATCTCTACTGTCATTTAAGTAAGAGATTCAATGCAAATGATTCGCAGATATACATAGTAACTAATCGATTGAATCAAGACGTTATAGAAAATATGTTCTCTTATATACGAGCAATGGGAGCAGCGAACGATAAACCGACGGCATTAGATATTCGATATAGACTCCGGTGGTATATTTTAGGGAAACATTCTACAGACTTCTTCACTGAAGGAAGCAATACCATCGCACATGACTCTGCCACAGACGAAACGTGTCTTACTAGTAGTATTACTGTCGATTTAAATGAAATGCCGATTGACAATGATGACGAGTTCAGTATTGGACATGTGACTAATTTTGAAGACTATTCACCTCATGATGATAAAATAAATACTTGTTTTGAAGAAAGTACTGTTTGTGGTGAGATTTGTTCTTAATAATAAATATATTTATCAATTCACGAGAAAATTTAAATATAATTAATTAATTTCATATATTTTAATAATGTAATTGTACATTAATTTAACAAAATATATAATTGTAAATAATTCTTAATTTCAGCAAATATGCTATTATTTTATTGAAAATAAATTATACATTTAATTTTAGCGATAGTGTAATTACATTGTAGATATTCATGATTAAACTCACGAAAACCCGGACGTAACAGTAATTAACATCTGTTTTTTAATCGTTACATGTATGTAAATTTTATAAGTTCATTTTAGAATATATGTATTAATTTGTTTGTTAATTTACTTTTCGTTTGACTCTTACAATGCCATTTCCATGTTTATAATGTTTATACATTTAATTTTAGCGATAGTGTAATTACATTGTAGATATTCATGAGAACGTTTTATATTCATAATTAACCTTATTTTATAACAACTATAATTATTAATTATAAGCGTTATTAATTGTTTTATAATAATATATTAAGTATTGTAATGTAATCTATTTTGTATTTGCACTTTATATTTTAGATTTATTAATTGTAAAAATAAATGATTAAATTACTGTCGAGAGAGGTTCTTACGATTTTATATTTATGCATGCAACACTACTATTTGTTACAGATATTAATTCATTTACTTATTCTCCTACATTACAAGAATTGGCATTACTAAATCAAGTTGAAGAATTAGGAAATGCTATTGACATTATTCAAGAAGAGGGCCTTAAATATATTGCCGGTTACGCGGCGTCTAGATTTGCAAACAAGTACAATCATTTAGGCACTCCGACTGAAATGGTAGTTAATCCACAAAACGACTGGATTAACTACATTTCAAAAGGAAGATTAATAAGTTCTTCTTCTGAATTATTGGAAGTAGCAAAAATAATGAACAAAGAATTTCAAAATTATCATGGGAACTTTATTCAGAAGAGTCCAGGGATTTTTAAAATAATTACAGATAAAGTAAAAGAAAAAATAATAAATACGACAATACCACGAGAAGTATTATTATGTTTAATTCGTACGCGAACTTACATCAGAGTGCGAATAATTAACAAACAAATTTCGGCCGAAAATCACAAAAGAAAGCATAACAAAAAAATGTCTATATTTACAAACCGTAGAGCTACTACTAAATAATTTTAATATATATTTATATTTTTTTACGTATATATTTATTGTCTGTTACTTTTGTCCGTTTACATTTATGTTTGTATTATCAAAATACATTTATAATAAATATTTATATACATTCTTTAAGAACTTGCTCAACATGCTTCAAATACCCGCTATAATTTTATAAGATGGCGGAAACTTATCACGCTTTCTTATTGGTCAATAGAAATGCCTGCGCATAAGCACACCTTGTTTCTTACACCATGACTTTCACCCTTCGCGCTCCACACCTCTCCACTGCGCTCCTAATAACACGTATGTGTGTGCTTCGATACGAATGTGTAGCGTCGCACGCCGAAAGCCGAGGAGCGCATTTCTGCCGGTTGCGTGTACATGGTCTTTAGAAGAACGAATTTGGTATTAAAACATCATGCTTACGTGTTTACGAGTATGCATATTTCTACTGATATACTCTCGGAGGTTTGCTATTGTCTTTTGAGAGATGGCAATTAAATAAAATTTGATGTTCCGGACGAATGTGAATGCTGGTTCTCTTTAGCACAGAGGACAGTTACACTACGCCCTGCGCTATGGTCGCTATTTATTATGTACATAACCGATCGTCTATTTGTTATATACCACTGTGTTTAAAAAGTAAGGTGAATTTGGTTATAAAGTGAAAAATCGTTATTTATTCATCCAAATTAATTTCATCTCCTTCAAAGTAATTCCCCTCCGATATAATGCACTTATGCCAACGTTTTTTCCATTCCTGGAAGCATGCCAAAAAGTCGTTTCCCGGTATAGCTTTCAAAGCGCGCAGCGATTCACGTTGAATCTCTTTAATAGATTCGAAGTGGTGTCCCCGGAGCGGTTTTTTGAGTTTGGGAAATAGCCAAAAGTCACACGGAGCTAAGTCAAGTGAATAAGGCGGTTGCGGAACGATATGAGTGGAATTTTTGGCGAAAAACTCACGAAGAATCAATGCCACGTGAGACAGCGCATTATCGTGATGCAAAAACCAGGAGTTGTCTTTCCATAAATCCGGCCTCTTCTTGCGAATAGTTTGACGCAAACGACGCATAACACTTAAATAATATTCCTTATTGACAGTTTGGCCCCGTGGAAGGAACTCATAATGCACAACACCACGATAGTCGAAGAAAACTGCCAGCATAACCTTGATTTTTGAGCGACTTTGGCGCGATCGTTTGGTCTTGCCTCGCCTTATTCACTCGATTTGTCGGTTGTTTCCGGATCATAAGCATAGATTTGGATCTATACTTTTGATCCGGAAACAACCGACCAATCGAGTGAATATCGTGCTAAAAGCAAGGCAAAACCAAAACGATCGCGCCAAAGTCGCTCAAAAATCAAGGTTATGCTGACAGTTTTCTTGGGTCTCATCTCCTGTAATAATGCGTTCGTAGACGTCCTGATAGTCAGAAATCATCTTTTCACAAACTTTAACGCGACGCTCTTTTTCGAAGAAATTGAGTGTTTTTGGCACCAAACGAGATTTGACTTTTCTAAGGCCCAAATGACGATTCAAAATTTGTTGAACTGATCCAATTGAAATGCCAACCATATCGACAAGGTCTCTAATTGTCAATCGACGATTTTCGAGCACTAATTCCTTGATTTTCTTGACGTGTTGCTCATCAGTTGACGTTGATGGTCGTCCGGGGCGTTCCAAGTCATCAACACGTTCTCTGCCTTCTTTGAAGTCTTTGTACCACTTATATACATTTTTCTACGACATAGTCGATTTACCGAAGGCCTTCTGCAACATTCTGAACGGTTCCGCAGCCGAAATTTCATTCCGCAAACAAAATTTAATGGCACTTCTCTGCTCAGCAAAATCAGACATTGTAAAAATCGCCAAAATCACTTTTAGTCGTTTAGAAAACACAAGCGTAACTATATAACTAATGATGACATTCACGTGAAATTTGGCATAGATGTCACTAACAGTATATATAGTACCAACATAAAAATAAAGAAGTTTGCTCGAATCGATTAGCCCGGGAAGTTTAAATTAAAAATTCACCTTACTTTTTGAACACAATAGTATGTAAAATTATGGAACTCGTGAAATCTTTCGTGCTACAGATCTGGAGACACGGTAGTGTCTCGGCGCTAAGCCAAGCGCCGCGGCACTGCCGTGCCTCCTTTACGCGAATCTGAGAGTTTCGGGGGATTGAGATGATCAGATCTCAGTAACGACAGAACGGATCAAGTTCTATATACGCTCAATCGATAGCAATTGCTTAAATTGTATAATAAAAGTGCTTTTATTTTTTCTCTACATGTCCTACGAGCGAAGATATCACGACTCAAAGTCCGAATCTGTAAATTTTAACATTTTATTTTTAAGATACGTCATCGTCATTGTCATCATTATTGTCGTCGTCGTCGTTGTCATTGTCGACCACATTCCATTCAATGTCCTTCTGACATTCCTGCCGCAAGAGGCAAATGTGGCGCTAGTCTATACCGCTCGATCGTCATGGAGCATGTGGACTGCGAGCGGAGCGGTGAGGTGAGAGGGGTGTAACTTTCGATTCATTTTCGAATAGTTTTCGTCCAGCTTTCGCTGTCTTTCTTACGATACCGCACCGCGCACAGTACAATGCCATTCGACCATAATGGAGCACTTGTACTGCACGCGGTGAGATGAGGTGGGAAGGGGTGGGCAAATGCAACTTTCGGCTGATTCGAATCGCCTCCGTCTAACTATTTCTCCTCAGCTCACCGCTTCGCGCGCAGAATAATTCCATTCGACTGCTATGGGGCACTTCGACTGCAGGTGGAGCGGTGAGGTGAGGGGGACAGTGCAACTTTCGGTTGATTTTCTAATCATTTACGTCTAGTTTTCGCTGTCCCCCTCACAACACCGCACCGCACATAATATATTACCACGAAGAGTAACTGTTTTACATTTATTTAACAATTTTGTTTTATAATATGCGATCGCGTTAACGAATAAAAAATGAATATGTTGTTTTAAAATCGATGCGTTAATATTAGATGGTTAAGGCCCGTCTACATAAGTCGCAGAACGCAGTTCGCAAGACTAGAAACTAACCTAACATAATAGGTTGTAGAACGCAGAACGCAGGACGCAGGACGCATAAGTTGAAATTCACCCAACTTCCTGCGTCCTGCGTTCTGCGTCCTACAACCTATTATAACTAAAATATGTTAGGTTAGTTTCTAGTCTTGCGAACTGCGTTCTGCGTGTTGCGATTTATATAGACGGGCCTTTAGTAAAAGCAGCCGTGGGATTGTTTTTGATGTTGAAGGGCGGACGCTAGTCGCACGTCACCCCCTCATCTTGCACACCGATAATAAACCGTGCAGTCATCATTTAAATACACACATATTAATAAAATTATTATTTTAAATACTACCGACTGCTGAACGATATGACGTATATTTGAAACTATCACAGTACTAACACGAGTTAAATTGTATTAATATATTACCACGAAAAGTAACTGATTATTAATTAAAGTTGCCAGTACAAAGTGAACATACGTAAAGTGTATGTAACTTTCGGCCGATTTTCAAATCTCCTCCGCTTTCCGCTGTACCCCTCATCTTATATTAAATACATATGTATATACATATATACCTTCATTTTTTAAATAGTTTTTTTATAGGACTAAATTGTATATTAATATAATAACAATTTGACTTTAAATTATTTAAAACAGAGTGAAATTCAACCAATTAATATTTTATCGCATTTGAAATGTGATTTTAACGGCATAAATCGTCTAATTAATATTCCAATCCAAGTGGTTTAATTCTTCTTTAAAAGAATTGTATCGCAATTAATTTAAAGATAATTAATTCATACATTTATTCCTCCAACCAAAGTAGTAGTAGTAGTAACTCCAATCAAAGTAGTAGTAATCTTCCTTGAAAACGTTATTATATTACAAAATTGCATTACTTTATTCATCTCAAGTGTTACCACAAAAAATTAAGGCAATAACAGTACAAAGTAAAAATAATTAATTTAAATAGAAAATTTTTTTATGTAAAAACACTTGGCACTGCTAGTTCTCGATCTCGATGTAATAACGTATTACAAATTATTATTCTCTAATTAATAATTAATATCGTGAGAAAGGATTGTTCTGATAATCAATTTCGTAATAACATTATACTAAAACACTTATTACGTTTATTAGCGTATTTATATATATGTAATAGATTTTGACTTTGGAATTAATACATATTCATCACTTCCATTGCATTATCTTTCAATAATATAATGTTTTATTAAACTTAATATACCTCCCAGGTCAAAAACTAATTGAGATATACTAGTTGTTGTTGTTGCTATACTAGTTGTTGTATATAAAAATTATTAATAATTACATCGGTATATACGAAAAAGTTTCGACTTCACAGAGTCCTCAACAATCGCAACCGAATTCTTAAAAATTAATTAATTTTTTTTTCTTTTTATATTTTTTTTTTTTTCTAATTTTTTTGGTATATTGCGAAGAATATCACAAGTCGGCGTTTCGTCCCAGCCTCCACTACTAGACTCATCAGTAAGGTAACATAGTGGAAGCCCACCTTAGACGCCGGTGTAAATTATTAAATCAAGACTTTCTACATAAAGCAATATACGGGGTGTTTCATTTTAATCCGACCACGCAGGTACCTCTGTCAAAATGAATGATATCAAAAAATGGCCTCTACAAAAGTTGAAGGGGACAGAGGGGGCCACCCAATGGTACCAACAACCTTGACCTTGAACTCGATTTTCAAGGTCATTTGAAGGTTGAAGTGGTATTTTTAAATGGGAACCCCTATTTTTAACCCCCCCGGTTGAACTCGATTTTCAAGGTCATTTGAAGGTTGAAGTGGTATTTTTAAATGGGAACCCCTATTTTTAACCCCGGAATCGTATAGAGCGGGAAAATTTACGTTTGTAATGACATTTCAAGTTTGCTTTAGTGACCCTTTTTCAAGGTCAAATGCTTAAAAAATTACATAAGAGCTGTTATTTTCAAATTTTTGATAGAATAAACGTTGTGAAGATAATTTTATAAGAATGATTGACTTTAACTGTAAAAACAGCTATGCTGTCTTTTCAAGGTCATTTAAAGGTCAGCGTGGTTATTTCGACATATAACTTTTAATTAAGGATCCGAAAGTGGATAAATTTACCATTAGAACGTAACAACGTTCTTGACCTTATCATCAGTGCCCAAGGTTATGTTAAGGTCACATTTTTATCCTATCTTTAGCATTACCCAAGGACAACGATGTGGACGTAATAGGATTATGTCCCCTGTGGGGTGCTTGATTAGAGTGAGTCCCCTTGCCTCTCATTTTTCGGGGTGCTTGATTAGAGTGAGTCCCCTTGCCACTTGTGCGAACATCCCAAGGGCTGTATTACTAAGAACAGTAGAGGAATTTCATCAGCGAATCGAATTATGCACAGAGCAAAATGGTGGTGTCTTTGAGCACCTACGTTGAATTCCGGACATGAGTGAGAGGCAAGGGGACTCACTCTAATCAAGCACCCCAAAGGGGACATAATCCTATTACGTCCACGTCGTTGTCCCTGGGTAATGCTAAAGATAGGATAAAAATGTGACCTTAACATAACCTTGGGCACTGATGATAAGGTCAAGAACGTTGTTACGTTCTAATGGTAAATTTTTCCACTTTCGGATCCTTAATTAAAAGTTATGTGTTGAAATAACCACGCTGACCTTTAAATGACCTTGAAAAGACAGCATAGCTGTTTTTACAGTTAAAGTCAATCATTCTTATAAAATTATCTTCACAACGTTTATTCTACCAAAAATTTGAAAAAAAGCCCTTATGTAATTTTTTAAGCATTTGACCTTGAACCAAGATCACTAAAGCAAACTTGAAATATCATTTCAGACGTAAATTTTCCCGCTCTACACGATTCCGGGGTTAAAAATAGGGGTTCCCATTTAAAAATACTACTTCAACCTTCAAATGACCTTGAAAATCGAGTTCAAAATCAAAGTTGTTGGTACCATTGGGTGGCCCCCTCTGTCCCCTTCAACTTTTGTAGAGGCCATTTTTTGATATCATTCATTTTGACAGAGGTACCTGCGTGGTCGGATTAAAATGAAACCCCGTATGTATATTTCAACAATTTCGAGAATTTTGCGAATATCAACAAACATCTGATAGCGAGTCGACGTAGTAATACTGTTCGCAATATTTATGTAATATATATAATCACTCTCCCCCCAGCTTACCTACTTTAAGTTCCCCACCAAATTGCGCGCGCCGAACTACAATCGGTCTTAAAACACAACTCTAATAATTCGAAAATAATGTCCCCTTAATTATTTTTCCCACGCGTTGTTAGACCAGCGTACAACACATTAAATTAAATTGATATTCGCTCAAATAAATTTCAAATTAAACTTAATATACCTCCCAGGTCAAAAACTAATTGAGCTATACAAGTTGTTAGAAATATATATAAATTTATTATTAATAATTACATCGGTATATACGAAAAAGTTTCGACTTCACAGAGTCCTCAACAATCGCAACCGAATTCTTAAAAATTAATTAATTATTTTTTTCTTTTTATATTATTTTTTAATTTTTTTGGTATATTGCGAAGAATATCACAATTTATTTGAGCGGATATCAATTTAATTTAATGTGTTGTACGCTGGTCTAACAACGCGTGGGAAAAATAATTAAGGGGACATTATTTTCGAATTATTAGAGTTGTGTTTTAAGACCGATTGTAGTTCGGCGCGCGCAATTTGGTGGGGGACTTAAAGTAGGTAAGCTGGGGAAGAGTGATTATATATATTACATAAATATTGCGAAGAGTATTAC